TAGTAGTCGTGTACATACCGCGCCCAGAAAACAAACAGAGTTCAGTAGGCCAACGGTGTCGAGAACGACAGCAGCATGCAATAAAGCTGAAAAATGACGCACTCCGGCCATTGGCGAAAGTCGTATCGACAGCGAGACGGGGGCGTGCTCCATCGATGGCGCTGTCGTAATGGTACGACGATACTCCTGTGCAGTATGTAGTCTACCTTTTACATACACAAAATCTTAGCTAGGGCATCGGCTAAGGCCGGACGAAACGTTTTTTCTCGCATGCACTGCTGTAGAGCTAGGTGCCGATAGCAACAGAGCAGATGACGGAGCAGTCACCACCTCAACCTGCTTTTAACCGAACTCAATAGTTCTATCAGACAGGCGTGTTACAAGAGCATGCTGGACGTGCACTGCGGCAAAGTACTGCTGTATGTCGGCCAAACAGGGAGTCTTGTTTCAGCTCCGTCTAATAGCATTATCAGACCGGTTGAATACATGACATTGCCTAGTGGTCTCTCCGACTGCATAGGCCATGGTGCAGATTCGCAGTCCCGCTACAAAATGGGTTCATGAACGGCACCGAGCCTCACCCTGTATTGTCACCAGATTCGGTCAGGCTGGGTAGATCGCATGTGTGAAGTATGTCTCGTATTGGCGGGCGGCCCGACAAAACCTCGTATGTGTGTAGTCTCGAGGCTAGGTCAAACTCCAGCAGGCAACCTAAAAAGTGAAAGGTATGGAGATTACATCACACTGCATGGAAACCATAGCGCACGCTACGATACAAGATCTAAAGATTTGCGCGAAAGAGAGCACGAGCACTCCCCAACACACCTAGCGCGAGTGCGCACACCGCACGCTACTCCGGGGCTACTCCTCCGCGACACTTACTTGGAGGTCTTCTGGAATGCGTTGCTCGGCCATTCCCGCGTCTTCCCCTCCCACCCCGCTCATAGCTGCCAATCCGAAGCGCGTCGCGCCGCCTGCGTGCACTGCTGCTCGCCGTATGTCTATGCTTTTCTATGCTGTCTATACAATATGAGGGAAGCGGACCCTCCTTTGCCGGCATAGAACCAGAACCGAACCAAGAAACTTCCTCAGAATATTCTTTTCCGACAAAGTCGTAAGCGCTACTGGTCGTGAGGTCCACTCTTTGTTACCGCTCGGGCGAACCAATGGGGTGCCCCCACCGCTCCCTCGATCTCAATCGAAGGGCCTCTCAGCCCCTTGTTCAGCCGCTTTCAGGCGCCTGATGTGCGCTCCCCCCGACTGCTTTAGCTGTTGCACCATCGCACACTCGTCCTCGTCTTGAACCAAAGACAAGCGGCGCAAACAGGAGGAGACATGTCGTCCGGCCGAAACGATAAGCGGTGGCTCAAGTCCGTAGCCGACCCTGACTTAGTGAGCTTCTTCGAAGACTCTCAGTTCGATGCCGGAGAGTACGCCAAGGGCTTCTTCGAGCAACGCGAGGCTAGTCACGCGGCACACAGGTGTGGCGAGGGAGAGAGAGTGCGGGGGAGGTGTAGCCGTAGGCATTGCATGGCGGTAGCAATAGGCTAGCAGTTGTCGCTGAGATACATTGCGCACGGTGGATATACACCCACAGCACGGAGAATCTCTTCCAGTGCAGAAAACAGCGGCGAGACGTAGCTACTGCTGTCTGCTTTGGGGCAGAGGTAGCGAATCCTCCTTACATGAAGTACAAGGCTTGGAGGTTCTTGCGGTGCAACTGCTGCGTGGCTTCCGTGAATGTTGCACAGGTGTGGCACATCTGTTTGGCGGGGTGTAGCAGTTTTCGGTTGGAAATGGAGATTGCGGATGGAGAAAGACAAATCAATGTTGGGACACATTCTGCAAGTCGGTTGTAAGGGCCAGTCCATACCCGAAGATTCGCAGTGCTCTTGAGCCTTCGTGCAACTGCTGTAGTCCATGAGCCTGCACCAGTGAAGTGATGCTCATTCGTGCTAGTATTTCACAAGAGGGTCTGATGGCAATCGGCACAAACAAGTGCACGATACCACGCAGCAGAACAAAGCAAGTCATTATTTTTTGTGAGGAGTGCATGTTGCTGACTCTTTCGGCGCCATGGCAGCTCTGCATGCTTGTACACGAGCAACACAATCTTTGCTCTCAGATCATAGTTTACGCGGGTTTATTCTTAGCAAGAAAACATACCGGATAAAGCATAGAATCGCTTAGGTTGGGGTTTAGGGTTAGGGTCCCTTGCTTGCTCATGTTTCGAGAATAGAACCTACACTGCCGTCTTTGCGTAGGCAGTCCGTAGTCTACGATTCGCATCAACACACAGCTGAAAAGAGGGCACCTCGCTTTTTGCATCATTCCCTCGCCTCTACTTGCTCATTTTTCCCTCATCATGCTTATTGATATCCAGGGTGGAAAAGCTGGAAGGACTCAAGCGCCAGACAGGTGAGTGTGTTCTGTGTCTTGCTGTAGGTACACTGCTGCTCACGGCCGACGCACTCATACCCGGCAGCAGCAGCGATGCCGTCATGTTGGCACTGCTGTGTGCGGACGCCTGTAGAGCCTAGAAACAGGAGCTATGCTGTCGGCCCTCGATCATGCAAACACAAAGGCCGCAACAAACACGAGCAGTCGCCCGTGAATGCACACAATAAAAACGGCTGGTCGCCCCGTATAACCTACAGGGCGGTGAAATCGCTTGATATGTAGCAGAAAAAACACCCGAAGTTTGCTCATGCTCTGGACAGCGGTGCCGACGGCGTATTGGCTGCCGTCAATTCCCTTTGCTCTACACCGCCTCTAGCAGGCACCACTACCGACTGCTTTAAGTGTACCTTAATCAGGCGCTCCTCTACGGAATTTAGTACTCCAAGTACTCTTGCCACTTTTCCTCCCCATCTCCCGAGTGAACTATGTATGTGCCTGCCACGTCGTCTTGGTCAAATAACGCCAGCATGGCGTTTTTGCGTAACTGTTAATGGTATGGCATGTTCCTTGTTGGGGTGTGTGTCACTCATGAAACAGAGCCAGCTGGCTGTAAGAGCCTGAGAGCTAAGGTTTCTCGCAGCTACCGCACCGGTTTTCTTACTCTTGTGGGGATATTGTGCCATGGATGTACCGAAATCCTAGCTGTGTTGTGACGAAGAACACTGCATCAGGCAAAGCGCGATTATCGACATCATGTGCTGTCGCTGCCTCTCTCGTGCCCATTGATAGTTTGAAAATAGGGCTATCAAAAGCCGGCTTTGAGAGCTAAGATTACCGGCAACTGCAAGGCTTTTATGCACGCCTTTTGCCATTTGGCCAGAATCCCTGCTGTGTTGTGACAAAGAATATCAGGCTAGGCGCGATCATCGACAGTTTTGTTATGATTGTTGTTATTTGCCTCTTTCGTAAACGGAGTCAGCTTCGAGGATCGATTTTTCCCGCAACTACCAGGGTTTTCTGCACGCCTTGTGCCATATGGCGAAAACCCCTGCTGTTGCAATAATGATTGACAGGCAAGGCGCGATCGTACACCTGTGTTGCCGCCCCTTTCGTAAACAGAGTCGGCTCTGAGGGCCGAAGTTGTCCGCAACTACCAGGCGTTCATGCACGCGACGGAGGAGATCCGCAGCATGGAAGCCGGCCTCCAGACGCTGAAAGACCTTCTGGGATCTACCGCCGTGACCTTGCAGGTTGTGCATGTAGAATAAGTAGGTGTTACTGTTTTTGGTCTTGCTGTTGTTGTCGCTGTGCTGTCGATAGGTGTTTGCTATTGTCCCTTGCTGAGGTAGTGCCTGCGGTGACGGGTGCTGTTGTAGCTGATGGCCGTTGTTGTCGGGTCGTGGTTACTACTGGGGTATTGTTGCGGTAATGTTGTGGCTGCTGCTGTCTTGCTGTCTCGTCGTCACTGTGTGTTGTCATTCCCTCTGCCGCAAGTGCTGTCTGTTGTTGAAGCTGTTGTCGTTCTTCCTGCCGTAAATTTTTCTGTCGTTGTTGTCGCTGTATGGTCGATAGTTGCCGCGATGTTAGACTGTTGTTGTATCTGCTTGCTGTTGTTGGTGGTGTGGTGGGGTTCCCTCTCCCGCAACATGTACTGCTGTTCTTCTCCTTGCTATGCTGCCGTTGTTTCTGCAGTAGCCTGTCGATCTTGATCTGTCGACCTTCTCGCTGTGTGGTCGATGCTGCTGTGGTAATGGTCAACTGTTGTCGTGGTTGCTGTTGTTATTCTTGCTATGCCCTGGTAGCTGCTGTTGTTGCTGCCGCTGCTCTCTGTCGGCGTTGCTGGGCATCCTTGCCGGATGTGGTCAAGACAAGTGCGAAATAGTTCGCCGGATGTGTTTTTTGCGCAGTTTTTATTCAGCGGACAAAATGACTGGATGACGAACCCCGCAAACGCAAGCCTATGCATGTATCAGGCTCCTTCTACTTTCCTGCTCTTACACCACAGTGCCGATGCCATGTACCGTGGCACTCTGTCGACCACGTACGTCTGGTAACTACTTTTTTGTTTTTCTGCCTTCATCTTGCGAAAGAGTACAAGTATCGTATGCAATCGTTTGCTTCCACGATTGGCTTGTGGTGACGACAGCTGGTGCAGCCCTGCCGTGTTGCCGCCTGAGGTGCATGAGTGCCACAGCTCCATGTCGACATGAAATTCACCAATGAACGAGTGGCAGGCACGTCTTGCAGGACACCAAATGGAACAACAAAAAACAGAAATATGAACCCTACAATCTCGTTCAGTATTTCCCGGCCACAAACACACACTAACCTGTCTACATACGTCCCACCACTTGCTGTTGCGCGGCGTATCAGACGTTTCGAGGTGTTCGCCTGGTTGAAACCGTCAAACCGGCGGAAAAAACGCCGGCGGCACGATCGAACTCCCGTTCGGTAGCGGCGGCGGCGGCCAGCCCAGAGGAGGACGAAGAAAACGTAGGCGTGAATGCCGCGTGTGTAGTGAATGAACACTTGGGTTACTGCAGGCTATGTCTCGGTTTTATGCCAGGTGGTCTGGTTCTTTGACATGTAACTGTTTCATCTATGGTACGGTAGGCTTCTTTTTTGGTCACTCGCGACAGGTTGTGTCTTGGTGGTCTTTTGCTCTTGTTCTTGAAGGAAGAGTATGGCCGTCCTTTTTTTTTTTGCATCTGTTGGCTCATTTCGTGTCCGCATTCTGCAGGTGATGTCTTCGTTTCTGTCGCGTTTTTGCGTCTGTTCGCGTGGTCGTTGGCTGTCCGTCTCAGGGAGACGGACCTTCGACGTCAAGAGGACTCAAGCTGCCGGAGTGGCTGGATCAAGCTCCGATAGAGGTGAGAAAAAAAGTTAAATCTCTCGCGCATGTTGATTCTTTTTTTTGTAATGCCCAGCAGGGTGTGCTACCTCGGTAGTATTGACCCTCGCAATCCTCCTTGCCCGAGAGCTTTGGCCCGGAACTCTGGTGCTGTGCCTGGCATGTGACATCGGGTACGATTCTGTTTCCTCTCCTGGCGTGTGTACCGTGAGCACGTTTCTGTTATGGTTTTGCTGATGGTTTCCTGGCATGTATAGTCTATGGGTAAGTTTCCATTCTCGTTTTGCTGATGGTGTCCTGGTATGTGTATGTGTACCATGGGAACGTTTCGATTCTCTTTTTATGCTGGCGGTTTCTGTAGTTGGAAGAGCTGGAAAAGCCGTTTGTTGCTCGAGCTACAGCACCAAGAATGAGGGACATTGAATGTTTCTCATTCTCTTTCTGATCACGTTTTGTGCAGTTGGAAAAGGGAAAAATCTAACACAACGCCGAAGCTAAAGCAGCAGAAAGCAACGCACGTTTCTTATTCTCTCTGTGATTACGTTTTTTTTTTTTGCAGTTAGAATAGCTGTTGCGGGAGCTAACCCACCAGAGGAAGCAGCGAAATTTGTGTTTTGTTAATCAGATCAAATCAGCGCTCACACGCGAAGAATTTTTCGCGTATAGGAGCTCTCCAAGCCGTGGCCACACACAACATTCCCACGTTTCTCTTCTCTTTCTGATTACGAAGTTTGATGTAGTTGGAACAGCTGCTACTGGAGCGAAAGCACCGGAGGAAGCAGCGACATGCTCGTTTCTAATCTCTTTCTGATGACGACGTTTCCTGCAGTTGCAAGAGCTGTTGCTTGGCCGAAAGCACAAGAGGAAGCAGCGACTGGTTTATCTTTTTCTTTTCATCGTTTTCAGCGCTCACACGCACAACATTTCTGCCATGTAGGATCTCCCGAATCCGTGGTCAAACAGAACATTGCACGTGTCTTGGTCTCTCTGATGTCTTCGTTCTTGGCAGTTGGAGGAGCTGTTGCTGGAGGTAAAGCACCAGAGGAAGCAGCGACATTGCACGTTTCTTATCTCTCTCTGGTGTTTTCTTTTTGTTGCAGTTGGAAGAGCTTTTGCTGGAGCGAAAGCACCAGGAAGCGGCCACCTTGATCCGGAGGGTCCGAGATTTCTCCGCAAACCTTCAGAACGCGACCAACTTGGGGCGTGGGGTGGAGAGAATCTTCCAGAAGGTCGAGACGATGGCTGCGGGGATGGCGGAGCGCCTGCTGGCCGAGATTTCGGCGGCGAACACCCTGACGGTGAGAGCGAAGGTTTCGGGTAGGGGTCTATGTTGTTGTTGTTGTTGTTGTTGTTGTTGTTGTTGTTGTTGTTTTTGCGGCTCTTGGTGGTGTCTGGTGTTGACGATGCTGCCGGTGGCCGTTCTGACTGTGAGAGCGAAGGTTTCGGGTAAGGCTCGGTGTTGCTGTTGTTCCGGCTCTGCTTGCTGCTATTGCGCTGTTGCTGGGGTCATTGTTGTTGCCGCTGCTGCTGCCGCGGTCGTGCTGGTTTTGTTGTTGTTGTTGTTGTTGTTGTTGTTGTTTTTGCGGCTCTTGGTGGTGTCTGGTGTTGACGATGCTGCCGGTGGCCGTTCTGACTGTGAGAGCGAAGGTTTCGGGTAAGGCTCGGTGTTGCTGTTGTTCCGGCTCTGCTTGCTGCTATTGCGCTGTTGCTGGGGTCATTGTTGTTGCCGCTGCTGCTGCCGCGGTCGTGCTGGTTTTGTTGTTGTTGTTGTTGTTGTTGTTGTTGTTTTTGCGGCTCTTGGTGGTGTCTGGTGTTGACGATGCTGCCGGTGGCCGTTCTGACTGTGAGAGCGAAGGTTTCGGGTAAGGCTCGGTGTTGCTGTTGTTCCGGCTCTGCTTGCTGCTGTTGCGATGTTGCTGGGGTCATTGTTGTTGCCGCTGCTGCTGCCGCGGTCGTGTTGTTGTTGCTGCGCTGTGGGCGGTGGAGGCGTTGATGATGTTCGTCGTTCTGACGGTGAGACTGGAGGTCTCGGGAAGGGTTGATGTTTTCGTTGTGTTTGTTGCTGTTGCTGTTGCCGTGGTGTAGCCTAGTCGTTCATACATGCGCACAGTTCTAGATGTGGGGGTTCCGCGCCCACAGGAGCCGATTCGCTTTTGTTTCATTATTGCCAAATTGATCCCTGAAAGAACAACCGCCCCGCTTCAATATATTAGGGCTACAGTCGCCAACCCAACAAATGCATCATCCCTGGTAAAACAATGTCCCCGCTTCCATCAACTAGTTGCGGTTACATTCGCCAACCCAACCTGAAAAAGCAATTGCTCCGCGCCCATGAATTGCTTACGGTTTCAGTCGCCAACCCAACAAATGCATCCCTGGCAAAATAGATTGCCCCACTTCGATGAAATGATAACGGTTACATTGTCAAACCTAAAACACAGGTGTGGGGGTTCCGTGAGCACAAGAGCAACTTCGCCCTCCTCATCTCCCTGGGCGAGAGCGAGAAGGCTGCCATCTTCTTTGTCGGGGAGAGAAGCGCCATGATCAGGCGTTCCCTCAGGCTGGTGGAGGTTACCGCGGACCCCCTCTCTTACGTGGGAGTCCTATCGGAAACGTTCTTCGGACAGGTATCAGAAAGAACGCTGTTCGGATTGGTATAAGAAGCGTTGATCGGACAGGAATAAGAAAGGTTCTTCGGACGTTTGCTTGAAATAGCCTTCTCGTGCCAGGTATGAAAAACGTTCTTTGGAAAGGCAAAAGAACAGAACGTCATTCGGGTTGGTACGAGAAGCGTTGATCCGATAGGAATAAGCAAGGTTCTTCGGACGTTTGCTTGAAAGAACTTAACCATCACAGGTATGAGGAACGTTCTTCGGATAGGTACTGTAAGTGAAACAAAGGATAGGCATGAGAAACGCGCCATGGTCAGGCGCTCCCTTAGGCTGGTGGAGGTTACCGCGGACCTCCTTTCTTACGTGGGGGTCCCATCGCATACGTTCTTCGGACAGGTACAACTTGTGCGGCCTACGGTATGCGTGGCATGTTCCTGAGGCATCTCGCTAGCGTTGAGGCGAGGCGGTATTGCGGCGTGTTACGACACGGGCTTAGCTGTAGCTTCTTGAGGGTGTGTGGGTGTGTCTTCAATTGTTGGCATCGACCCCGCCAGATGGCTGACTACATGAAAATTCGCCAGTCTTAGTAGTTGCTGGGATAAGGAGGCACGAACATGCTGTGGAGTCATCGAGCTCCGAGAGTGTGCGTGTCTTTGATATTCGCATCGACCGTGCTAAGCGACTGACCAATGACAGACGTTAGTCTCAGTGCGGTGGCAAGCACAACAATGCCTTCTAAAGGCCACTATCTGGGACCCTGTGATCGAGTGTCCTGGGGGAGTCTACGCTACTCTTCGCATTAGCGACAGATGGCGTAGCAATAACAGAAGAAACATTTGTCTGTGTGTGTATGTGTGTGTTTTATTGGCATCGACCGCGCTAACCGGCTGACCAATAAAGATATGTCAGTCGCTAGCCTGTTGTTTTCGTTTCAAACACTACTTTGCCCCGACACCGTGATGTCCTTGTGTTCGTGCTTGTGTGTGTGTCCCTGTCGAACATAATTGTTGCCCCCCCATGCCACCGCTCCTCCCCTCGGTGTTTGCCATCGGGATTGGGTTTTCGTCGCTTGGCAACGACGTTGTAAAAGAAGCCATTTCACTTCGTGAACTCGGCAACTCGCCGAAAACCTCACGGCGCTTCGCGCTTGGTGATGTGAGAGCCTGGTCCGGTGAGAACCCGGCCTTCTCCGTCCCGGCTTTGTAGGGATGCGAGGTCAATGGTCTAACGACTACGGCAAGGACGACGATGAGTACACCCCCACGCCACCGCTTGTTATCGGAGAGACTTTGGACGCGGTGTCGGCATTCCTGAAACTTCTCTGCGAACCCGCCAGGATCCACTAGCAGATTTCAATCAGGCCGGCTTCCCAACGAACATAAGCCATCTCGTATTTGCTGGAATATCAAGCACGAATACACGTTTTACTGCATCCGAGCTCCCTGGATGCGTGTGTTCATCGTTCGTTCCACCAGCATCGAACGCGCTGACCGAATGACCAACGACAATCGTCAGCAGCGAGCAGCCTGTTTGTCCTCTACACATCGGTAGTCTCGGTGTAACGTCCCCCTGTTTTGCGACATGCCCTGTTTAGCCACAACACAATCACGTGGTACCGCAGTACCCCCGTAGTACAATTGGTGTTAGCTGTTAATTCGGTCGAGTGACCTGCCCTGGATAGCGGCCACGTTTCTTCGTGGCACTACGGTCGCTAAACCTGCGCCCCCGCTGCAAACATTACTTTTGCCTCCCACACCGTCGGAAAGGTTTTAGACGCGGTGTCGGCGTTCCTGAAACTGTTCTGCAAGTCCGCGAGGATCCACGAGCGAAGATCCATCAAGACCGGAAAGTCTACCGCCTACTACCAGGTAATGCCACGGCCAGCGGAGCGGCCTAGGCCTGTGGCTAACGTGACATTGCTTAACCTTTGCCCAGGCAACGTCATTTCGGCTAAGGAGCTCGCGGAGAGATGACGCCACACTCAAGCACGAGTGAAGGTACATACATGTAGCTCATGCAGACAGCGTTTCGGCAGAGCACCCATGCACGAGTTTGGAAATTCCAGATAATGACACAGCCAGGGGAGCGACCTAGGTGACCTAGCTAGCATAACCTGTACCGGTAGTGTTTTTTTTTGGTTTGACCAGGCAACGTCGTTCGGCTTAGGAGCACGCGAAGAGATAACCCCACACTCAAGCACGGGTGAAGGTAGCTCGCGCAGACAGCGTTTCGGTAGATCGTTCAAGCAGGACGTTGCGAGTGCCACATAATGGCACAGCAAGAGAGCGGTCTAGCGGCGCAGCTGAGTACCTTTTGGCGAAGCATCGTCGTTTCGGCTTTTGAGAGCAAGCGAAGAGAACTTAGGCACGAAGTACCTAGCGCTGACGCGATCGATTTAGCTGTCTGCTATACCAACCGCCATCGCTCAGGCTAGCACAAAGCCTAACGCTAAGCCTGACGCCAACGCCGCGTTTAAGTTAACCCTAACGGAACGCTAGCTCCGACGCTGACGCACCCCTAGCGTACCGCTAGCTCTGTCGCTGGAACGTTACCACTAGCGCTGAGGCTATCGCTACGGCCAACACCGACACTTTTGCTAGCGCTAACGCGAAGCGTAACGCCATCGCCGACGTTAAGGCTACCCCTGACGTAACACTGGCGCTAGTGCTAACGCTACACTAGCTCTACCGCTGATGGCGACAGGTATATCAAGGGGTTAAGGACTGCGGGACGGCTCCCTTCTGCAGGCTGGTGGTGTGGGTCAACCAGCAGATCGACCAATACGCGGTGCTCATGGGAAGGCAGATCAGGGCGATCACGATGGGTCCTCAGGTGGGGCTTCAATTCTCGGACGTCGGAACTTGCGCTTCTGTCTCCTTCATTTTCATGTTTTGTTTTTTTTGTTCAACTTTAGTCGTCGCGCACAGCGTGTCTGCCCGGTAGGAACTCCGATCCGAGGTAACACATGTACACAACGCGCCCGCGCTAAACAACCCCGGAGTCACGAACTTGAGCCTCGAGAAAATTAAAATTAAAATTGATTGACTTGAGCACCGCTTATGAGCTACATTATGTCAACAAACCCACACTAAAACCTATATAGCGATCATTCGTAGAATGACCCTAGGAATACGGTAATAATCCCACCCCCGGCCGAAACTACAGAGAGGTTCTTCGTCCCCCATCACGTCAAACGCGCCCGCACACGCGCACAGAGCGTTTCTGCCATATTGTAGCTCGAATCCGTGGACGCACATCTGTATATTGCGTCGGCCCCAGGAGGCAAATTACCTAACTTTCGCAGGGGAACCTTGAATATGTATTTGGTAGCGTTTTGTCTTCGAGGAACCGTGGCACATGTGCAGGTGTTTGCACGTACGCGTGTGCATAGGCTTGCAAGCGTAAGAATCATCGAGACTGGACGCGTGATGTCAGCCTGCGGTATTTTTTTTTTTTCCCATCACTTTCAATCATCGCTCACAGCGTGTCTGCCGGGCAGGAGGTGGCTCCGAAGTACAGTACAACATCTCCAATTTGTGGTGACGCCAAAGCGGTCCTCGCTCTGAGCCCCCCTACCCCACACCTCCTGCGGTGCCTCGCCTTCGTTTGTTGTCGCGAGAATGGTGAAGCACCCTCTTCCCTCAAAGTGTACACATGAACTGTTGTAGCTCTATGTTGCACATTTCAGGAACGGAACCTTTGGGAGATTGATACATACCCTCATGACAAATTCTAGTATGCAGGTTGTTGCTGCTAAGAACCGTTCCTACTGTCTCCCTTTCCGGGATGTTTCTTTCGGTGCTCATACCGTTGTCGTCGTTATTGTGGCGGTCTAGACGTACTGCAGTAGAGGTCCCGGTATAGTGCCGGTTGAAAAATGCCGGTTGCCCAGCACAATGCCGGTTCAAGCTGCTGGACCAATCCGGTGGACAGACCGAAGTTACGTTATTCCAGTACTTTCACCAAGTCACGTCCGTACTTGTAGGCGACTTCCAAACTTGCGGCAGGCAAAACGAGTTGAACGACGCAAGCTGCCCCGGACAGCATACCGAATAAAACGGAAACACCGTACAAAACAAATACCGCATACATGGAACAGGAAACCGTTTCGACCCGCATCCAGTTGTTCCTCTCCCCTGTAAAATACAAGCCGCAAGAGGCGGAGAGATGGCACCCCCATACACCGATTTTCACAGCTCCCTTGCTCCACAACCAAGATTGTCTGTACCGTACCGTATTCCGTACCGTGGTATTCCGTAGGAGGCGGAGAGATGGCACCCCCCCCTAGAGCGATTTTCGAAGCTCGATTGCTCCACAAATGGTGGTTTGGAAACTTCTCATCGAGGGCTGTCCGTAGACGTATGGGGCTCTTGCCGCCCCTGCTTGGTTTTGAGGCAATCGATCATTGAAAGTCGGTCTAGGGGGGCTGCAATCTCTTCACCTCTTACGGTATACGGTATACAGTACGGTACAGCTAGCACCCGTGCTTGAGAAATATTTTTGGGGTCGAGGCTTCAATTTCTTAGTTCGTCACCACCGTCGAGCAGTCACTACATATTAGACTATATAGAGTTAAGTGTAGGATCCACGGCTGAGGTGTGTCTCTTGGTCGATTTTTTTCATTTTTTGCCAAAGTCTGAGCCTTTGCCTCGTACTGTTTCTTGCAAGGTTTTGTTTCTCCATCGCCGGTGCTAACTGTATACCTGGTACCGTACTGCTAACGTTGGTGTATTTCCCCCACGGCTACCCGCTGGCAACTCGAAACATAGGAGCATAAGAAACATACTTGGTACGCAAGTACTTGGTATTACCAACCGACCCCGCCCACCCACTCTGACACGAACGATTTGACGCAACGCGTCGACGACGGAACGCTTCAACGACGGAACGCCACGGCGGATTGTGTGGCGGAACACTTTGGCGGAACGCTTGGACGACGCAACACCGCCGCAGAGAATCACGCGGGAGCAATCGAGCAAGAAAAGCGGGGCGGCGGCTTGCAGCGGCGAAGACGCGGGGTTCAGACTGGGGCCGGTGGCGTCCAGCTTATTCAGCATTGTGAGTGCATGTTGAGTTAAGGCCAGGGTTGTGGTTGTTATGTGTGTGTATTTTTTGCATCGATCGCTCTAACCCAACCGGCCGACCGCTTTACCGACGTCAGTTTCAATGCTGGAAAAAACCCAGCAAGCGCCGCCTCTGTTAATTGTGTGTGTCTCTCTGGTTTGCATCGACCGACTACTGCTGCACGTACCAATGGGAATTCTTCATCGGCGACTGAGGCAATGCATGAGTACCCCTGTTAGGTATACCCAGCGCTAGATGCGGATCTACGGAGATCTGGGAGGGGGAGCCGTGGTCGGTGTGGAGAGGCGGAGGTGAAGGTGATGATGGCGGGCCCATGAATATCTGGTCGTAGGGCGATGATTCTGCTCCATCTGTCTGTTCTCGGCAAGACGGGGCAGCAGCATCATGGCCCTACGACCAGACTTTCATGGGTCGTGGGACAAGAGCAAGACGGGGACAGAATCATCGCCCTGCCACCAGGTTTTCGTGGGCCCGCCATCTTCACCGTCACTCCCGCCTCTAGCCAGAACGACCAAGGCTCTGTACTGAATGAGGTGTTGTTTGTGCATCCTCTTCACCGTGCTGTGTGGTCGAGGTTTGAAAATACAGGTGTTTGTGTCATCTTGTGGCGTATACGGTACTGGTCACTAGCCAAGGTCAAGAGTCCGCCGATCTCTCTGATGATAACACCTCCTACCAAACAATGCAATAGTCCATGCAGGTTCTTTTTTCAGGACTCAAGCATATTGGATTTTGTAAGAAGATACATGTTAGGATTTCGGTCTGCGTGCCCCCTGTCTGGTCTGTTTTCGTATTATAGCAGTGCTGGTCCTGGTATTCAGTGCCGGTCGAATAATGTCGGTGAAACAGTGGCGCCGGTGGAATATTCAAAGTTGGTTCACAATCTGAATAGTGCGGGTTGCCCCGCTTTAGTGCCGGTGAAATCGGCTGGATCGCACCGGCCTTATGCCGGGACCACTGCTGCAAGCTTTACTTTCTTATGCGTAGGCAGTCCTAACAACGCCCTTCCAATCTGTGATACCGATAGGATAGCCAGGCAGGAAAAGTATTCATTTGAGCCACTTTTGGCAAAGTGGGAAGGAACGATTGGCAATCGGTGATCGGTCCTGTGGAAACGATGCTCACTCCGTCGTCCCGAGGATGCGTGGTCAATGGCCTAACCGCCAAGGCACGCAACAGAAGAGGACGCCCCCCCCCCCCCCCCCCCCCCCCCCCCCCCCCCCCCCCCCCCCNCCCCCCCCCCCCCCCCCCCCCCATCCCATTTTCTCCAGGTGTCGCTGATGCTGGAGGAAGGCTTCGCGGCAGCGGCAGCCCTCAATACCATGGGGTTCCCGGTGGGGGTGCA